AAAAACAACATTCCATATATTTTATATTAAGTGTATTAGAGTTTTTTATACAAATTAAGAAAACTTTAAATTTGTATGTTATACTAATGCATTGCATAATGTTAATAAGTTATATCTATTGTTAATAGGGATAAACCCGAAATTTTGTTTCAAAAACGATATTTTTGTGAAACAAAAATTAAAAGCTAATACGATCGATATTTATATGAAATAAATTGAGTAAAATTTGTTTTGAAATCTTATGCAAAGGAAACAACGATGGGATTCTTTACATTAGCACCTCTTGTAGTTGTCAATTTTTAAAACCCAGCCTGTGTAGGTCATGTACACATATATACTTAACCATGCGTGTATGCAATAATAAACAATCACTCGACAAATCAAAGTATCATGCTTGCCTTGGTTAAATAAATAACTAGTCATAGATTTATGTTTTCCAGCTCTAGTCGTGGTGTCAAATGAAATCTCTAATTTTTTTTTTTTTTTTGTCGAAAGATGACTAATTTAATTGTTACAAAAAGGAGAAACTTATGCGCATTGATTACATTGATATTTGATCATAATGACTGGTGGATATGTCCTTCTAAGTTCGTAACTGCCAGTTTTCACCAGACTCTTTAGGCACAAGGCAAAAAAAAATAAAAATGATAGTAGTACTATATAAGTTTATATGCTTCGCAATAAACAGTTTTTTAATTAACTAAACCAAATGTGTTCGTTTTCTTGAGAATTTTCAAAAAATGTCAATTTTCAAGTGTCATTTTACAAAAATGCTATATTTTTGAAATCTTTACAAAAATACTATTTTTTCAAAATTATTTTTTCTTTATATTATTTATGTTTGGGTTAATTATGTTCTATTAGGGTTTAGTTTTGAGTGATTAGGGGGTTTTAGGTGTCAAAACATTTTTTAGGGTTTAGAATTTTAAAATATATGCTTTATAAATCTATAATTAGTGGCATTTTTGTAAATGGACACCCCTAAATGGTATTTTTGCAAATATGCACACAAAAAGTGACATTTTTTTAATTGCCCCAATGTTCTTTCTCTATGACATGTACTTTCTTTATAAAAGATCCTTTTTAAAATTTTAAATTAAAAATTTTAACTTCTATTTCTATACAAACAAAAAAAACAAAATAATCGTATACACTTCGTTAGTTCGATATTTAGAAGAAAAAAAATTGTTAAAAAGAAAGTAAGAATATTAACAAATACCTAACTGATCAAATAGCTTTTTGTATGTGAGTAAAAATAATAATAGCACGTAGATATATGTTGACACAAGTAAATAGAGGCTATTTTCTACGTACACAAAACTATTTATAGGCTGTTCCTGGCAATAAAAAACACAATATCAATTTTATATAAATAAATAA